GGAGGAAAGAAGAGGACGAAAAATGAACCGATGCAAAAGTTCAGCAAAAAAACTGGCCTATTATTGTTACATAAACAATAAAAACATTGATTATTTTTAATTTTGTCTAATATTAAGAAATGCATGCCTTTTCTTACAAAACATGTCTTCCTATAAATCTTAATAAAATAAAGAAAACGAAATGACAAATACTAATCCATTTTATAAATATAATAAAAATTTTATGTATCAATTTATATAAATATATAATTAGATATAATTATATTGTAATCATAATTATATATATATATATACGAATTTAATTTATTATTTATTTTCCTTGTTTCGGCAGTAGAAGTATATTCTTATCAGTGCTTTATATCTTATAATCATGTGACATATAATACAAAATTACATTTTATAAACGCGATTAATAAATATAAATATTGAATTTTTAAATAAAATTTCTGTAAAATTTTTGTCTGTATTGTACATACGAGATCGGTTCACCTTGGAGGTGCATATATAATACGCACCTGCGAATAGGCATGGTTTAGCGCACGCGCACTTATCACGCAATCATACGTTATATGGATAACAAATGTTTGATTCATCGTGAGAAAAACATAAAAAATATTTGCAGACGTCAATATTAGAAGTTTAGAAGACAATTATTATTGACGGGAACAAAGTTCGACGGAATTGACGTTTTCGTACTCTCTTTCGCCTTGACTAGATCAAAGTTTAAAGTATACATTTAATCGCCGTGACTGAGCATTAGTTTTCCATTACAAATTAGTTATCGAGATAATACAATAACGATATGGACGCATAATTATCATGATTGCTACGAAAGAAAATAATTAAAAAATTATACTAATGAAAAATTAGAGAAAGGACAGAAGAACTTTTTCTTCACATGCAACAAAAATTAATTTAATTGTGGGATATTCATTACTACTGGACGTTATGATAGATAATAATTTTTTCAAACCGTTAAATATCATCGTAATTTGTTCAATTTATGTAATAAGAAAAAACATTGCGGTCTTTCCTGACATAAAGTAAAAACGAAACTCAGCGAAACGGAGATGACGCAAGGATTCTTGCGTGTTAAGTAAATTCAACAGAATTCGACGCGACTCGTCGATTTTACCTGCTCTTGGACAGGTGATGCTGATGGCAAATTTCATGTTCAAGATCAGAAATAGCGTAACGCAAGCCGCTCGATTGACGGAGAAAACTCGTCAAGTGACAGCCGAGCGGTATCAGGAACTGCCTCGTAGACATGTTTTATATAGACTAAACTGGACTAATCGTTTCGTGACGCGACTGTCTTATCAGTCTAAATGTATTGGCGGGGAAAGATGCATCTTGCGCATATGTATGTGTGCAAATCGCGTATTCGCTGGAATTTACTTCCCCCCGGAATTAGATCGTGAAAATATAAAAGAACTACAAATTTCTGTACTGCACAAATTGCTTATCCTTGCACATAATTATTAGCGTGGGTAAAAAGTGATGTAATATTGATGAGACGAGATAACGATGCTAATTGTCGCGGTAGCCTTTACTCTTTCAACCGACAGTCTGATATGATCACACGATTCACGCGATATCTTTAACCAATGTGAAATTCAGATATTATCTGCGACGTTATGTGCGAGTGTTAAATTATAATGAGATATGTCAAATATTGTGATGAGAAAAAATTAAAAAATGGAATATTTTTTTTATTAATATGAGACAATAAAAGTTAATTCTTAAGTAACATAAATATAATTTCCGATACAAGTATAATTTTTTCTAAAGATATCCTTGATGATGCAATCCTTTGAGTCATTCAGAAACTAATTAGTAATAAGATTGATTAGGATCTGAGATATTTAGAAAAAAACAAATATTTGTTTAGAAATAAATTATACAGGATGTTTTATTTTAAACGTAATGGATCGAATATCTCGGAAAATATAGAAAAATGTTTCAGATGAAATGAGTTATACGGTCTGAAGGGACGCAAATATTGATGAAATTAATTTTTGAAAGAATCAATTTTTTAAGATCACACACACACATATAGAGATTTTCATTATTTTTAAAAAATAAGTTTATATGCGGAATAATTAGAGAAATCATATTATGTAAAAAAATCATTCTATTCCATTTAAAAAAAATGGCGGAAATCTCCATGACTTTGAAAAATTGATTTTTTAAAAAATTATTATCAATATTTGTGTCCCTTCAAATCGTATAACTTTCATCTGAAATATTTTTTCGCATCTTTTATATTTTCCGAGATATTCAGCCTATTATGTTTGAAATAAAATGCCCTGAATATATTTATAAATTAAGACTTAACTCAATAACAATTAAAATGTTAATTACGTACTGTTACAACATTTCGCACCAAAGTACTTTTAGAAGCTATCTTTTTCTCTACTAATTCACTTATTTTAAAATCCTATTAATCATCAAAAGAGAATAAGTTTGCTGCAATTAGGATAAGTACAAAAACAAAGGCACTTACATCCTGCCGTTTCGTTGCACATTATTGTCTTTGGAGTTTCCGTTGCCCATCGTGACGAATCGACCGAGACACTTAAGCGATTAGCTGGGGATTCGCTAGTTGAGGTCTGTCTGGATCTCGTATCAATATTGCAAACAATTCATAACTCTCGCGTTAACATGGGAGTGGAAGAATACCGTGTTTTGCTGCAGTTGTGTCAAATCGACCCGATAAGAGAGGCAAGATTTTTCTAGAGAAGAAATGCGCGCGAACCGCCCAGCTTCTCGCACGCCGGTGAAATCGGCTGCTTCGATCACGAACAGATCACGAGCGTGACTAGCGGATCGCCGTCGGATCGTCAAGGAGAACGTGGTGTTCACTCGTCGTGTCGTAGCCTTCGTTCTAGTTATCTAGATTCTCCCGTCTTTCAGAGAGAAAATCGGGCGAAAAAAGCGTATTTTCGGAGGGGGAACTGACACTTCCTCTTATCTGATATTATAATTGAACAATTCTTTTTTAACATTTAATGCCGCGATTTAATTAAACTAACGTCATCCACGGCGGTGTTTTTTGTAGTGCGTATAATCGATTGGGATCTTTTCTTGCTGTATAACTCCTCTTTTTTACTCAACACAAAAATTAATTGCATACTTACGTGCGTGCAAAACTTTGTGTGTCGTGCGCAGAGAGGGATGACTTCACGCGACTAAAAAAGATTTTTTTTGTAAAAGAATCTTAATTGCGCGCTACATCGATTGTGTGTCTTTACCTGAGAAGACAGTTCCTAGCTCGAGTCTTCCAGAATGCGAGCAAACTTTTTCTGACAGCCATTCGTCGACGATAGCGGCGTGTCTCTCAGTTCTCTATCCTGAACATCGTTATCTAATCGATAACGTTTTACAACAGTTATATAGCTTGGTATATCATAATATAAGAAAACAGGTATAAATCGTAGCAGAAAAAGGAAGTAATATTTTAATTATTTTGCATGCCACGTGGCTGGTAATACAAGTCTTTTTGAATAGCAAAGCAAATGTTATGAAAGACATGAATAAAACATTTATCTAAAAATACTTAAATAGACATTGCGTTAAATTGTTCTGACAGACTTTTATGCATGTCGTAAATTATTTTGCAATTTGAAAAACTCGAAAAAGACGCATCGGATTGCTCGGATGCTGTATGAGTTTTTATCATCTGCTATCAAAATCAATATTAAATACATGTAAATAATAATTATTATATAAATTCTTATAGTGAAAGAAAAATATCTTTGTTGCGAGAATTTTCTCCAGCTGTTCTATAAATTGTTTTAGCAAAGTGAACGCATGGTGAAAGTCACAGTACATTACGATAACATAATAGATCCTGGAAAGGAGAGAGCGAAACAATCGTGTTTACGATTGGATGGTTCCTGTCTTTGCGTACAAATTTAAATGTATAATTTTATTTTGCATAAATTTTAAAAAATATGACAGATGTTAATATGATCTTACAAGTGCAAATATCCTCGCGATATAACATAATATTGTATTTATATATATATATATCTTTAAACATCTTTCAATTTTTTATGTTGAAAGAAAAAATATAACAATGCAACTATAAAGAATAAATACCGCGTATTATATAGCAGAGAAAAGCCGTCCTCTGAAAGTGGGTGGCTCGCAATTTTTGAATGGTCCCTGTCTATTAGCGCCTCTATGTGTACAAAACGTGGACGTGAACTATGTATTCATATTCACAGAGTATCTCTGATCAATAGATAACACAACTAACACGCATTGCCCATTTCGAAATCTGGGGGTCGATTGTGTATCTCGAAATGAGATAAAAATTACAAAAGTGAACAAATTCACTAGAAAAATTCACTTTATATTTATTCATTTACACTGCTTTCCTTTTAGGAGACACAGTCGACACAAGTGTCGTTCTATCTTTGTCACTCTCTGAATGTCAAGAAAGACAGAGCGATGCTTGTGTCGACTTGGGTCGATTTGTGTTATCAAATGGAAAGTGTATTAGTCAATAATTAGTGAATTTGCTCACTTTTGTAATTTTCACCTCATTTCAAGATACACAATCGACTCTTTAAGAGAAGTCACGTCGACCTTTTTTTATTACCATCGAAATCACCCGTACACTACCGCCAACTACATTCATTTTCAGTCTGGGAACTACGTGACTACGTATATTTTCTGACACTATCGATAAAATCGTATCGTCGACAGTAGATGTGGTTCGTGTCTGTACTAAATCCTCAGGATAGAACAGGATAGCGTGCTGGCCGGCATGGCCTCTCTCAAGTTTCTTTCTATTTCTACATACTAATAATGTAGATTAATTTTAGGTTAATTTTAATCTTGGTTTAACTTACTTCTTATCTTTTTCTAGTTCTAAGAATTAAAAAATCATAAAGAATAAATTAAACCGAGATTAAGTTAATCTACATTGGTAGAAATGGATATAAGTCCATGATCTTACTCTTCTCTTTTGGTTCTGTTCTGTACTTCTACACAATCTGCAAGCGTCGATAATACATAAATGCTATCACACGTGTGTTACAGGGTTACTTTATCACGAATGGTTTAGTGTTTATACACACACAAAGATACATGATTTTTTTGAAAATTATTCTTTGAAAGGCTGCGAATAATATAATATATAATGGCTCAAATAGGGAACGTGGTAAGTGAATATTGTCTACATGCAGAAATTTAACCTAGATTATAATTTTATAACCTAACTGAATTTTGTCTATGATATAATGCAAGTAATTATAAAAATTATTGAATAACTGGCAATTATTTAAATTGACCGTCTTGATTAAGATTTGTTTTCCCATTTAATAAATAATTATTAATCATATTTGTTTATTAGATAATTCCTCTTGTTTCATTTCTATTTTACTATGTGTGATATTTACAAATTAATTCTTGAAAAGCATTTATTTATGTAAGTAATGATATATATTGTATATTTAAGACTGCAGATCAGCTAATGGCTGGTACCAGTGTATTGTCATGACCTGCTGAAGAATTTGAAAATGATGTGAGTAAAATCGCATGTAAATTAATGAACGAATAATATTTACTATTGCATGTTGCAAGAAAATTTTAAATCAATTTTGCTTAAAGAAACGTTTTCTTTTTTTTTCTATTTTAGCCATCTCTGGAAGCGATGTGGGCAATCAAAGCCATGGAACATGCAGAGGTTTATTTTAATGTAAGTTACACAATATTACACACATGTGTATATGTAGGAATTATTAAATAATATAAATTATAGAGATATTATGCTCCAGATTTTATGCTCGGTTGATCCGAAGTTTTTGAAACTCACACCTCACGATGAGCAAATCTATAAGACTTTCAAAGATACGTTTCCTAATATGAATGTGGATAAAGTGGATGAAGACGAGTTGAAATCTTCAGAGGGGAAGATAAAGTGGAGGTTCTTTTGTGAACAATTTAAGGACGTTGTGGAGGACTATAGTTTTGGTACATTATTGAGAGCAGATTGCACTGGAGATTATTCAGAGCAGAACAGCATACTAACAACCAGGATACAATTTTATGCTATAGAGCTCGCAAGGAATAGAGAAGGCTTCAATGATGGTGTACGAGAAAAGTACAAATCAAATAGAACTATAAAAAAATAGGTTTGATATTACAATTAGTTACATTAACACTACCGAAAGTAAATTTAGATATATTATTTTTCTATTATTTTTTTTTAAATGTAAGAGAATTGAATAATGTAAGACAATTTTATAAGATATATATATAATAAAAAAGTTATATATAATAACGAACATTAAATTGATATTTAAATATATTTACCATCCTAATGAGACAACGAACTTTCTCTTCTTTAATTTTATGCAACATTAAAATAAAAAGACATAATTCATTAAATGAATGAATATTATACCTAAGATTGTAAAAGAAGGAAGGTAATTGGTAAGAAAGAGGAGAAATGTAAGTTAAAAGAAGAATGGGTAGAAAATAAAAATGCATAAGAATTATCAGACCACAAAGAATTTGATTATGAAGCTTGCAGTGTCTCTGAGACTTTAATAAAAAATTAAAGGAAGTATATAAAATTGTAAGATGTCTGTTAATCTTGAGAGGGTTTAGTGAAAGAATGTACGAGAGCGACCATTTCTAGAATATATTGCTATATACACACTTTAATAACCAAAAACAAACATTACAGCAATAATATTGTTATTAATGTAATATTATATGCAATAATAGAATCGTTTATCAATCGTAGTGAAAACACCGAAAACCTTGCTTCTTCTTTTACTGGAAAGAACAATGCGTACGGTTTGTCTTCTTTTTATTATTAATAATATTAATTCGCATAATGGCGCCCGATCGACCGCACCCGCATGTTGTCGTGGATGTTATAAAAAAATTAGTAGACGTTATCTTGTTTGCCACACAATAGTATCTAGGCGCGAATATGCTATTTCTCGAGAGCGCGATCAACCCACGAGCCGATCGATCGTTATCGTAGAATAATAAATATGACAGTGCGATATCTAAAAAAATCTGTCTTTTTATGCAACTTGCACATTCAAATACAAGTGTACTCGAAAAATGTACATTGTTTTATTGCCCTTACGAACGTTAAGGAGAATAGCAAATAGCTGCCAAATCTTCATATGACGAGTACACTTTAGAAGCAGGATAATACACCCTTTTCGATCTTTGCATTTTAATGACAAAAGTGCAAAGGAAGAAATAACTTTCAAAGAAACCCGTTTCGTCTGATGCGTGATAATCATCGACTGAAAATTGTTCATTTCAAATTATAGGTCATTTAACGATTTGGCAATTACGGATTCTCCTCGAACCGAGCGGTACTGCGGCTTCTTTCCCAATTTCGCTTTTGCTCATTCTCTCTTTCTCTCTCTCTCTCTCTCTCTCTCTCTCTCTCTCTCTCTCAAATTCTTGCTTCTTTTTTCACGTTCATTCTGTATTCCTGACCGCTAAAAAATATTTGATACAAGATCGTACAAGAATCACAAAATAGAGCTTTGAATAAAATTTGCTTTAGATGAGCGTCTTTCGTCTGAGCGTAATAATTAATAAGTAAATTAATTAAACAAGTAATCTAGTATTTATATATGTCGAAGATGTGGAATATTTTTACATACTGTAAGAGAGATTTATTATCTCTCTTCCCCCTCCCCCCCAGAAAAGTTAATTCAAAAGTATTTAAAAGATATCACATTTATATATTTCTCTCTCTCTCTCTCCCCCTCTTTCTCTCTCTTTCTGTGCATTTCGGTTTATTGTATCTCTGTTGAATGGCGCGACCAGAAAATAGAGCTTGCCGAATCTCACGTTTATTTTTTAGCAGACAATTTACATCGCCCATGCATAATGCATAAATTACAAGTGTATTTTAATAGACATCGACCCTCATATAATGCGACAGAATCTTAATGATCATTTTCCGCTTGACTCTGCTTATTAATTTCTCTCGTATTATTCGAGGGCGACTGATTCCAGGGTGCTTGAAAAGGAAGCGTAAAATAAGACTAAAATATACAATAACAGTGACTTTAAACTCACGAACTCTATCGAAGTTTAAAAAACTTGTATATATAATATTGTTATTAATTCACATTTAAACGCTAATTCTTGCCAAACTTTATCCTAACACTTTGCACAGATTTTTAATTTCCATATACAATAACTAAAATTAATAATTGGACAATCGTATTTAATGTTAAATGTGATATGCAAATACGGATATAATCAACATTTTCTGATAGTTATAAGAAGATTAAATAATTATAGATTTTTTACGTGCATGTGCTACTTTTATATGTAAATAAATTCAATTTTTGATGGTCCCTCAAAGTCTTATCATTTTTATTTAAAGTGCTATTTTTACAAAATTCTGATTATGTTTTATGCATCTTTACGCTTTACGCTCTTTTTTCAAACACCTTAGAGTATATAGATGTGAATTACAATATGTCTCTCGTTCCGAACAAATAATTCATACATAATAAAAAATGACTTAAGAGGACAATGTCATCGTTCTCTGAAACAAATAAGTGGAGAATGGCAAATTATTTGATCCTGTACAAAAGTCACGATAGTATATAAGAAATTTGTAATATCGATGAAAAATACGTTTGAATACCTTGAACACGTATCGTGACGACGGAGAACGATCGTCGAATAAAAACAAAGGAAATTGATTATTGTAACTACGATCCTTAACAATGACGATGATAGCGTACTCTTCCTGACGTCTTTCTCCAATCGCGTATTATACATTTCATGAAATTTCCTACAGGTGCGCGCGCTACGTTCTTTAAATCTACGCTCCTCTACGAAGAGTCTCACTGAGAGAAAATCGATTGCACTTTCGATCGCGCATATAGATCAAACTGCGATATTAAAAAAGAAAGGTGCATGCATATTGCATTAAGGCAAATTGCTATTTCCTACGAATTAACCGGTTATGATCCGCGTCTACGTTTTAACGACATTTCTGACAGGTGAATTTATTAAAATGGATTATACTTTCATTTTGCAGCAATAATCTTTATTTCTTTTTTTTTTACAAAAACACTACTTGGCACAGCTAATAGTTTATATATTAAATATTTTGCATATACGAGAACAATCGACATTAATAACGAGCACGATTGTCACTCTTTTACAGCAGAATGCTCTCACATCCGAACTAATTGCAGGAAATTATCGTTATCTTAATTAATTAAGGCAACTTCAGCGTAATTAAAACTTCTTTTCTCTCAGTGCGTGTAACCGAGCGCCGAAAGTGACAACGATGCAACAGTGTGTGGAAGTAATAATAAGCCGTCAAGTGTAGGTAAGCTCTACTTTACAACAATTGTGTGTGATCGTAAGAAACTGAGAAACCTAGAAACACAAAGCGAAACACTCACGCAGTCAACGATCTCTTTTCGAAAGAACTCGTCTCTCTTTTTTTTATTATTCGCATTTACTTCTCGTTCCGCGCGCGTGATCGATAATCAATCCAACAACAACAACAGGGCATGTCGTATTTATGCGACCTATGGAGAGGTGTGATACAGTAGCAGTATTAATAATAATAAGAATCATTATAGTTATAGATCGTAGTAGTAAGTATTAGTGTTAGTAGTGTGTGATAACTGACAATACAAATATATCTTCTAAACCTAGGATGCACCGGGAGGAAGTTTTGGGAGATTCGGAGTGAGGTGGAAGGGAGGACGAGATGATGAAGAGGTAGTCCCGGGTTGAGAAACACGAGGATAAGGGTCGAGGGATCCGAAAGCTATAGTTTCCCAGAATCCTCGGGCTATACTCTAGAGGCGTAGTGCCCCGATCAACGATGTCTTTTCTCTTTTTTTTTTCTAATACTGTGCAAGTTTTTCCGACTTTGATCTGCGGGAGGATCGGGATGAGAACTCTGGAGTTTTTTTTTTTATCAGAAAGGTTCCTGGCATTAACTAAACTCTGATATGTAGGTAGACGTTGGGCGAGGGTCACCTATGTGTTCTTCCCGAATCTATTTGCGTTAACCCAAGGTTTTTCTGCGCACGAGTAAACGTTAAACGCGGCTGTCAGAGTCCAGAATGCCTATTTACGTTTATGAGCTAGAAAGTACCTATCCGTACGAACGTCAGTGCCATTCAGGACTTGCGTTGCAACAATGATGTCGTATTTATTCTTAATTAAGTAAGCCTTATCACGTGGTCCTTTCTATATCGTAGCCTTATTTGTAAAATAGGCAGGGGGAGAAAGTAATATATATCGTTTATCCTTAATCAACATTGTTACAACTAATCCATAGGCAGCTCTGCGTATAGATCATCTTTCTCAGGATCACCATGATTGATTTCCCATACAGCAATCTTCCAAGAGACGTTCTAAAAACGTCCAAAGGACGTCCCTTGGATAAAGTGCACTATATAGGAATTTTAATCTTTTTTTCTTTTTCTTTTTCTTTTTTTTATCAAATATGGAGAGACAGCCACATTTATCGTTAAACGTACCACGTGAACACGGGTCTCGCAGGCTCCCACACTACTAATAGCATTTTTCTGCAACATATGTCAATACTTTACTGACGTCGGTATTTTGCAACGATTTGAACGATGTGACGCTTCGCAAACAACGAGTCGAAGATATGTAACGCCGACTACAAGAGATATAGCTTCCTCACCCCGCACACGCACACACACCCTCTCATTCTCCGTTCCCTTTCTTTTTCTCCCTTTCTCTCTCGCTCGCTCGTCCCATGCGATCCTTAAACACGCCAGCCGAGACAAATCACCTGTCAACGCTCGCAAGCCCTGTATACGTAATGACACGACGAATGCAGCTATATAAAGTATAAGTATCTCTTATATATTTATATATATATACTTACAGTGTAATTGTATGTTGTATACAAGTATGTATATATACGCATACGTATGTTACGTATCGCCGGCCTACAGCAGGTGTTTTATTTCGTCTCTCATCCTCATGGTAACACGATCATCACGAAAATGTTTCTTCTTTTAGCCTCCATTCACGCTCTCTCATTCTCTCTCTCTCTCTCTCTCTCTCTCTCTCTCTCATCTTTTTCTCTTCACGTCATGCTCAAAGTGTGTTCTCCGTGTGAACGTGTTGGTTGTTAAGTGTGTCTTCGTTATGTGTGTTTGCTT